CAGCTGGGGCTACAGGGAGACCCTGTCTCAAAAAGACAAAAAAAAAGAAAAAAACAAACAAACAAAAAGATATGCTTAAAAAAGACTCTGTTAGGGTGACCCAAAATCTTTGCCTGTGCCAAAGTAAATTCCCAAGTATGAAATTCAAAACATGATTTGTTTACCATTATCACAGAATGTGCTTACAAGGCTCAGATGCTTATGTTTAATACCATTGGCATTTAACCTTTAACCCCTTATTTGGTCTGTAAACATCAAGTCCAAGCAAGGTGAAAAATAACAATATCAGAGTCTGGGGATGTGGATTGGTAGTACAGCATTTGTCTGACATGCACAAAGTGCAAAAGCCTCAATCCGATCCTCAGCACTGCAAAAATAATCAATTAAAAAAATCACCACTGAGAAATTTTTCATCATATAATGGTAAAAATACAGGCTGCTGTATCTTTTGTCTAAAAAAATAGTAGGTGGCTAAGTCAGGAGAAGTATGATCATATATATCTACATATCTGTCTGTGAGGCTCAGAATAGTCTACAGTTACCTAGAGGTTTCAAAACATTTGTGCATGTTATAGCAGGTGTGGTGGGACACACTAAAATACCAGCAGTTAGGAGGCTGAGGCAGGAGGACTTTAAATTGAAGGTCAACCTGGGCTATATAGTGAGACCCTGTTTAGGGTGCATGTGTGTGTCTGTGTCTGTCTGTGTTCATGTGTATGTCTGTATGTGTGTTTATGTCTGTCTGTGTCCATGTGTACATCCCTGTGTATGTATGTGTGTCTGTGTGTGTGTGTCTGTCTGTGTGTCTCTGTGTGTGTATGCATATTTGTGTGTTGTGTGTACCTCTGTGTGTGTATGCATCTGTGTGTGTCTGTGTGTCTCTGTCTGTATATCTCTCTGTGTGTATGCATCTCTGTGTATGTGCTGAAATGTTCATCTTCACAGAGAAGCTGATAAAAGGAAATTTCACAGGTTCTTCCCAAGTAATGCCAAGTCAGTCCTCTCTCATCAGTAGATGCAAAGTGCTACTGTTCTTTCATTTAGTCTTTCATGAGTTCATGACACAGCAGGTCCAGGAGCAAGGAGTCATATCCGAAGTCACAAAGATGCTCACTGGTGCATCTACCTAGCCTTAAAGGATAACTCCTGAAGCAGACCTCCGATTCAACTGTGAAAGGGGTAACAAAAGACTATCATCGAGTGGTACAAGGGGCCTGGGAATTCCATTGCAAGACAGTTGAAGGGTAAGAAAGAGAAGTTCACTGAATGGACTTGCCACTCACCAACTATCTTCACTGGTGTTTGGAGAGCTCCAAATGGCAGCCATTCACAGGCTTCCCTGTTTAGGTAGTGCAGAGATTCCCTTTCCTTAAGGCCCAATGAGAAGGTGCAGGTGTAGCAATGGACGCTAATGTCATTCCTGGGGCTGGGGCTATAATTTAGACATTCCTGCTGGTAATGGAGAGAGGCACCACACTGAGCTAGACAGTAGTGGCTGCAAACAGCTGACCCACAGATGAGTTAGTCTGGCCTTTCAATACCCTGACCCACACAGCTTCCCTACCCCTTCCACCGTCCAGCTTCCATGTCCCTTGCTTTCCAGTTCGGTTTTCTTGGATTGTGCTGTTTTGGCCAGGCGACTTCTAGCAATCTCATAAACTAACCAGTGGAGCCCAATGGGTTCCAGGCTTTCTAAACACACACCAGCCTCCACCCCAAGGAACCTGACTTACCTGAAGGAAGCTGTCTACCAGATTCCTAAGTTGCTGCATGTGCATGTTAATAGCTGCTAGCCACTACAACACTTCCTGAGACAATGTCCAAGGGAGATTTATTCAAACAGTTCTGCGTACTTAATTCATAGAACCTATGAATCACAGCAGAACCACATCTGCAGGTTTCAGCCCCTCACTCTGCAAACAGGTCAGGGTGCTGGAGGCAACACTTCCTTTGTAGTTGAGGAAGCCAGAGTCCATGAAGGAAACCTTAGATGTGCACTGCTGTTTATTCAAGCCCCAGGGTATTTCTGAAGCCTCCTGAACATTCACTAAATTTCAAAGATGGACAGTTTCTTTCACCTCTTCAAGCTTCCTACAAAAAGGATACTAAAATCTATTGCCTAGTGATGTTCCCTGATTTTCTGGAGATGAACGAGTGTCCCAAAGTGAGTTTTCGTGAGAAGGAAATAAAGGGGACTACAAACCGTGCCTTGTGTTCAAGAGTCCAAAAGAGCAATCTGAGTCCCAGATTAGTCTTCGTAGGGCCTTAGGTATAGATGGAGAGGCTGCCTAATGTGCTCACAGGTTCTCTAAAAGATCACCACACACCACACATATACACACCACACACACGTACACCACATGCAACATACATACATGTACATACATCACGCACATATATACATACACTCACACATACCACATACAACATACACACCACACATACACACCATAATTCCACATAATATATAGTATGAACGTCACATACACACCACATAACATACAACATTCATGCCACACACACATCACACACATATACACTTTATTACTTTTCTTGAAGCCATGACAAAGCTCCCTGATAAAAGTGACTTAAGGAAGGGCTTATTCTGGCTCACAATTCAAGAGTGCAGTTCATCATGACTGCGAAGTCATAGCCAGGTCAGTGGGGCAGCTGGTCACGTGGCACCCACAGCCAGGACGCAGAGAGAGACCCATGCTGGTGCCCAGCTCACTTTCTCCTTTCCTTCAGTCCAGGTCCCCAGCCCATGGGCTGGGGCTCCACATTGAGGGTGGCTCTTTACAGCTCAATTAACCTAATCTAGAAACTCTTTTGCAGGCATGCCCAGAGGTTTGTTTCTGTGGTGTCAATCCCTTGAGTTTGAAAAACGAGATTAGTGGACAGCATGCTCTTCCTCGCTCTGGCCTAGGGCCTGTGCTGTGGGCTAATTCTTGGCCACACCCACAGGGTAATGGCCCATCCCTTCCGGTCCTAAGCAGCTGAGGGATTCAGCTGGGCAGGTCCAGACTGATGGAGAACACAGAAGCTTCTTGGTCTTGACGAGTTCTTACATAAACACTAAATATTCTAACTGGGACTCCTAAGTGGTGGATACCCTGTTCTAAGAGCTGATAAGCACACTTAACATTTCAAGTCAGGAAGGAATGATTCCTTTCCTTGCCCAAACGGTTCTAGATCGCAGAACTGTACCCACAGTACATCTCCTGTTTCAGGACAGACAGCTGTTTCAACTTTTCCAGCAGAGTGAACTGTGGCCAGGCAACCATATCTGCTGTGGACCGCCTGCATGCCCATCTGTGCTAATGGTGGGGAGCCCATGAGGGGATGCCCGCACTCCATCCTCGGATAAGGCTTTGTCCTCCCCTTCTGTCTGACCACCTAGATGCTCCAACAAGGAGCCAAATGGAGCGTTTTCCCACGTCCCTAGTGGACTAGTTTGGGGTCTACCCAGGAAGAAAAAATGAGTTTAACGAAGCCAAGTTCATTTTCTCAAGGTACCACTTAAAGCAGTTAAATTCGATAAAGTTCTTGAGTCCTTGGTCCTTGACCTAAACACATTGATTTTTGGTTTTGTTTTTTGTTTTTTTTTTTTTTTAGAAATATTGAACCATGGAAAATAATTACAGCAATCCTATCACGTTGCTCGAGTTCAAACGGCTAGACGCCCAATGGAGCAGCTCCGCCCACTCCACCAAGTGTAAACCGCGTTCTGGAAGGGGCTCCAAAAATAATGCGGGTGCACAGACTTGCGAGGCCTCAAGACTGTAGGAGGAGCTTATTTACCGACAAAGTGCTCTCCCGGGGGCAGAGGTGACAGGACTTTGGGACTACGTAAAAAAGTAAAAGGCGAGGGTGAGGATGCCCTTGGGAGGGTTGGTTTGTTTGTAAGTTATTTTTTTGAACTAATGGCGCTGGGTTGGGGCTTCGCGCGCTCCCCAAGTGGGTTCTGCCCGGACCTGCGTGGCGAGGCTTCGCGTGGGGAACTCGGGTCGGGTTATAGATTCCTCAATGCAGCCGGTGCTATGCGAGGCATCTTTTCGAGTGAGCTTCACCCTCACCACCATCAAACAAGGACAGAGCCAGGAGGACAAGTTTCTCCACCAGGGAAGCAAGTGTGGAAGAATCTTTTTTCTTTTTAGAACTTAAAAAAAAAAAATCTCCTTTTTCTCTCTTTTTTTTCTTTTTTTCCTGATGCACTAGCAATCCATCTAAAATAGTCTTTGCCTTTGTGCTTCCGAAGGAAATCTACACCACCCCAAAGCCCAAGGGATGTGACTAAGGTTATAGGAGCCTAGGGAGGAGTGTGGCTGGGCTGGGAACTCCGGGTAATGACAATCACGAACGAGCGGAGCTTGGTGGCGGTCCCCTGGAGCTGGGGAAAGGGTGGGGCCCTCGGCAGGGGCTGCTTGGCGGGCGCGGGAACCCCACGGGTCTCTTCAGCCCCGGCCACCGCCAGGTGCTCGCGTGGTACCTGGCGCCCCCGGTGCCTTTGTGCCCAGCGAAGGCCGGGCCGCCCTGGTTCTCCCGGATGCCAGGAGAGACAGCTGCGGGCTCTGGCCCCCAGGAAGCTCAAGCCGGTGCCCGCCCGAGGGAGGGGACCTGTGGGTTACAGACGTGTGCCCCCACCTTCCCTGCACCAGAAAAGGATCCTGGGTCCCACGGCCGTGCCCTCTACAAACAGATGTGCCCACGCTCTGGTTCCCACAGCTGGCAGCCAGAGCAACTCAGCCACCAAAAGTTTCCCAACGCAGAAAGCCACTTCACAAAGTTTTCCTTGTCCCCCCTCCCCAACCACCTCGGTCTCTCTTCCCCACCTAGCCATGGTTTACAGAAAACAGCAGGAAACCAGAGCTCGAGACGTGCACACACCCGCGTCCATCTTCTCCGGTCCCTGGCCTGGGCAGTGTGCCCAAGGTGGGTGCCCGGCTCCGGGCTTCCAGCCCCATTCCACGGTCAGGCGTCCCAGGACGCGGCCAACTCACCATGGTGACTCCAGCCGCGGTCGCGCCTCCGCCGGGTCTGGCTGCCTGGGAGCTGGGGCTGGAACGCAGTCTTAGGGGCGAACTTCAAAAGTTGGTTCCCTTCGCCGAAAACAAGCTCCCGACACCCAAGCACTCACAGGAGCCAATGGGAACCCAGAGTGCACGCCATCCAGGCGGGATCCGAGGAGCTAGGTGAGGGCAGAACTCCGGGGACTTAACAGACCGGGCGCATGCTGCAGACCGCTGGGGTCCACTCGGATCTGCGGATTGCCGGCCGCCCAGAGGCGCCCGATGCGCTCGGCGGATTGCCTGCCGAGCTCTCCTGCCTGGCTCCTCTTTCTTCCAGCGCTTAATCCTTGTTCCACCCGGGCTCAGCCTGGGCCGGGCAATCTGTCCATAAATGGAGAAGTCAGCGCAGGCCTGACCAATCAGAGTTTGTTTTCACAGCGTCACTCCTTAGGGAAGCAGAGGTAGCCAACAGGCGTGGAGCTGCTGGAGTATCAAAGGCCTCTGGATCCTGTAGTCCTGGGGCCTCACCGGTCTGCAGAGCGCGCTTCCCACTGCCCAGAGCCGGCCCGCATCCTTGGGATCAAAACACTAGGGGAGGAAAAACAAACTCCTCACTTCTCTCTTTTTAACGTAGACGTTAGCATAGGTTCAGTTCCCATTCACCAGCCGCAGGGTTTTCCTAGAAGGTTTTTTTTTTTTCCCCCTTCAAGAAGGAAATAGTTTATCAGTCTAAAAGATCAGTCAGAGTCGTGGCTGGAGCCCAAAGGAAATCCTTTTTTCCTTTCTTGTGTCTGATTTGTGAGGAAAGTCGAAAACATCATTTTCTCCACCCCTCCTTTATATCTGAATTAATTTCCTTGGGAAACAAGACCAGAGAGTTCAATCCTCCCCGGTGTCCAGTTTCAGGAAACCAGGTGGGTAAGGAGAAAAGGGAAAGTAGGGGCAGGGAGTCGGACGCCTTCAATTCAGCGAGCCGCCACAGGGCTGGGCTCCAGTGTCAGAGAAAGGAGGGTCTGAGAGCGCCCGGGCACAGAAATGACTCCGCGTGATTGACTTCGTGATATTCGACATTCTTCCGTCACCCTTCACGTGACTATAGATAGGCTTCTAGAAATGGGAAGGATATCTTAAAGATCCCGTTGTCTGGAAAGGGTTTTTAAAAGGTGGTGCGTAACTACGGGAAACTGTGGCTCAGCCATGTAAAGGAACAAAAGCTGACACAGGACAGGGGAGGGAAAGACCTTGAACACATGTCAAAGGCAAGAGGTCAGATTGGCGTTCACAGTGTGGAATTGCATTTGAATGGAAGTGCGGAGTAGGGCAGTGGTGAGTGAGAGGCTTGGGACCAGGGTGGAGTGGCAGCAGAAAGAGATGACCTTCATCACCTAGGTGTGAAGATAGCCCAGAAGACCCGATCATAGTAAAACTGATCTTACCAAAAGCTACTACATTATTTTTTTTATTCGGTTATTGTTATTTTATGTGTATGAGTGTATTTATTGCAAGCATGCATGTAAGTGTACCCAAATTATGCAATGCCAGTGGGGGCCAGAAGAGGGCTTCAGATCCCTTGATAGGGAGTTAAGGATAGTTGTCAGTCACCAAGTGGGTGCTGGGAACCAAACCTGGGTCATCTGGAAGAGCAGCCAGTGCTCTTGACTACTGAGCCATCTCCCCAGCCACCAGATTGTACGTTTTAAAAGAATCTTATGGTATATGAATTACATCTTTTTTTTTTTTTTTTACATTTTTAAATTTTGGGGGTGATACACAAATGCCACAGCTCATGTCAGAGGACAGCTTCTGGAAGTTGATTCTCTCCCCTGTCATGTGGGCTCCAAGGATGGAACTCAGGTTGGAAGGCTTATGGGCAAAAGCCTTTACCCACTGAGATCTCCCACAGATGCTTTTAAGTGATGACCTTGAAAGGTCATCATTCACATGGTCAGGGCAACAAATAGAATTGAATTCCTTAGGAGATAGGCCAGACCCCAGGAGATACAACTGGTCAGACTTTGCAGACTTTGTGATTTTAGAATTGGGGAGACAGGTGATAACAATACTGGGGAATGGCTCAGTAGGTCTTGCAAGTATGAGAACCTGAGTTTGATCCCCTGAAGTCATATAGAAGAAAAACCAGGCATGGTAGTTATACTGGAGAGTCACATGGGCAGATCCTTGGAGCTCACTGGCCAGCCAGCCTCACCTAGTTCCAGGCCAATGAGAGACCTTGTCTCAGAAAAAAGTAGGGGTGCTGGAGAGGTGGCTCAGTATGCAAGAGCAAGTACTGCTCTTGTAGACTTCCCAGCACCCACATGAGTCAGCTCACAACTACCTGTAACTCCAGCTCCTCTGATGCCCTCTCCTGGCTTCCACAGGCACCTACACACACATGCACACATGTCAAATCAACATGAAAAAAATAATTAGAGGAAAGAAACAAATACAATAAGAGGGATAAGACGTGACAGTAGCTTTCATAAGGGATGGCCACACTCAACTGTATCTCTGGTTACAATATTCATGTGCAAGGGTCGACAGGATGAGGAAGTCAGGAACCAGTGGGGACATGTGGAACATCTCTGCTCTGGCCTCTGTACACCCAGACATGACTGCTTATGCTGCAGGGGCAGGTCAGCTTCAAAAATTTTATCAGGCATTTTAAGAACTCATCAACAGAGGTTACCAAAGGGGAAACCTGAGCTCATAAGAAGCACTACTTTGATCACCAGTATTGACATATGCCTAAACCAGATTGCTGGGCCAGCCTCATTAGGCGTGGAATACAGTAAAAATTCTCTCTTGCTTTGGCTCTTGCTCTGGCTCTCGCTCTCCATCTCTCTTTTGTCGTGGTCATAGTCCTCGTCCTCCCCCTCTTCCTCCCCCTCTCCTCCTCCTCCTCTTCCTCCCCCCCCCCTCCTCCTCCTCCTCCTCCTCCTCCTCCTTCTTCTTCATGTGTGTAAGCCCTCTTGTAGCACAGGCTGACCTGGAACTCAAAATTACCTTGTATCAATACTGAGATAATAATCCATTGATAGTCATGTCAATTTTGGATATATTAAAAACTGCCTTGAGGGGCTAGAGAGGTGGCTCAGTGAATAAGAGCACTGGCTGCTCTTGCAGAGTGGCTAACTGTCCCTAACTCCAGTTTCAAGTGATCTGATGCCCTCATTTGACTTCGTGTGCTTACATACATGTAGGCAAAACACTCATATACATAAAAGTAAAAATAAATGCATTAAATAAATAAATGGTCTTGAGACTATTTATCAATTGTATTATCATTTGAGGTGGGTTTTTAAGTTTTAGGGCCTAGAGGTGTAGCTCAGTTGGTACAGAAACTGTGTAGCAGACACAAAGCCCTGGGTGAGACCCATAAACTATTATCCCAGCACTTAGGACATAGAACAGGAAGAATCAGGAGTTAAAGGTTATCCTCAATTACATAGTGAGTTTGAGGCTAGCCTGGGCTACATGAGACTGTTTCAAAACAAAACAAAAAGAGTTCTATTTAACATTTTTCTATTCAGTTTCAAGAGATATTGAGGCAGGGTCTTACATAGCACAGGCTGGACTCACACTTGCCATATAGCCCAGGATGACCCTGAACTCCTGATCCTCCTGCCTCTACCTCCTGAGTTGCTAGGATTAGAGGCTTGCACCACCACACTCAATTTTTGCTGGTGATCAAACCCAGGGCCTTGTGTGTGCTAGGCCAACACTCTATCAACTGAGCTTCCTTGCCAACCCATTTTATATATATAATTTTTTGATGATGAGCTGTAGTTAGATAATTAGATTTACTGGCATATAAACCCGAATTTGAAATCAGCTGTGAGATCCTCATTTTTCGGAGCTCTGGTTCCCTTCTCTACAACACTGATGTAAGTGTGAAATTCACATGTGAAGATGGTCCGCAGAGGTGATGCCCCCATCCCTTTACCCATTCCATGTGTTCCAGGTCAGGGATCTGGATGCAGGATGCTGGGTAACACCAGATGACCCCGCCCCCTGAGTTGTGTGCCCAGTCAGGGATGCTGCTGCCGGAGCCTTCGGGAAATCCCTACTGAATCTTTATCTGCTGCTGTTCCCTGGGCCCCTCTCCATCTCCTCCTTAGGTCTGTCTGGACCTTGGTCTGTGTCGTTGTGGTTTTTGGGAGGTTTGAAGAGGCGGGTATAAGGAAGGAGTGATCATAATGCTTGCAAAGCAGAGGCTCAGCATGGATTCTCAAATCAGATACAGAGTGATGGACCACATGATCATCTGATCCAGCCTCCAAGAATCACTTCAGGGCCTCCCAGCCTAGGGAGAAACATCTTCAGTTTGGGATAGTGTGGTCATAGTGCTGATATACCTGGAGAGCCCTGGTTGGTGCCTTCTTCTCACTGACTTGTGGGGTTTTTTTTTGTTGTGGGGGCAGGGTCTCAATGTTTTGCTAGTGCTGGCCTTGAACTCCTCAAGAGATACACCTGCTTCAGCCTCCCAAGTGCTGGGACTATAGGTTTAGATAGGTTTATTAATTTTACATTTCATTTCCCCCGTCTTTTAGTTTGAATAATAAATTATACAGTTACTTTAGTTTTTTGGCCAGATTATGTTTTTTAAAATATTTTATTTATTATTTTTATTTTATGTGTGTGAGTGTATTGCCTGCATGTAGGAAAGTACACCCATGTCATGCAATGCCCGAGGAGGACAGAAGAGGCCATTGGATCCCCTGGAACTGGAGTTACGGACAGTTGTTGCTGCCATGTAAGTGTTAGGATTCGAATGGAGTTTTCTGTAAGAGCAACTAGTGTTCTTAACAGCTGAGCCATCTCTCCAGCCCCCAGATTATGTTTTTATCTATTTATTTTTATTTTTTAATATAATGGATCTTTTAAAATTATTTTTATTTTATGTGTATGAGTGTATTGCCTGCATGTATGTAAGTGTACCCATGTCGTGCAGTGCCCAAGGGGGCCAGAAGTCCTCAGATCCCCTGGAACTAGACAGTTGTTAGCTGCCATGTGGGTTCTGGGAATTGAACCTGGGTCCTCTGGAAGATCAACCAGTGCTCTTAACTACTGAGCCATCTCTGTAGCCCCATAATGGATCTCTTAAAATTGCATTTGTCTGTGTGTGTGTGTGTGTGTGTGTGTGTGTGTGTGTGTGCAGGTGCACACGCACACCTTCGTGTGAAGGTCAAAGGACAACTTGTGGGATGTGGTTCTTTCTTTCCACCGTGTGGGTCCCAGGGATCAGATTCAGGTTATCAGGCTTGGTAGCATGTACCTTTACCTGCTGAACTATCTTGCCAGTCCCCAAGTTATGTTTTTAAAAATCCTAACCTTTGTGGCTGGAGAGGTGGCTCAGTGAGTGAGTGTGCTTCC